TTTTTTTTCATTAGCCTTTTTTTACTTTGTTCAATGTTAAACTTGTTCAACGAATTAATAATTATTTAAGGCAACTTTGCCTCCCCTACATGATCCATGCGACATATATACATTTAAACCTCTGTGCGTGGGCGCACACTCTTTATGCGTTAGCATTTGCGTTTGCCCTGCATTCGCATTTACATTTACATGTGCGTGTACACGTACGTGTTAACATGTGATCGCTGACGCGCGTCCTCGCACATGCTTACGTGTATACACGCTCGTACCTGTGTATTCAACTCCATGCATTAAAAAATTAAGCGGCTTTACACAAGGGTTTGTCACGACAGCACAACAATGACAAGTTGTATTCGTGTTTACACCATAATGAGCCACATACATAATCGCATGCACAACATATATAGTCCTTTTAATTCCTTTGTTTTTTTTTTTTTTTCTTTACACACTTAAAGTTTTTAAATTGTTTTTAAAACATTTTTTTGTGACTGTTCACGCAAATGTTCATTCTCGCTTTCTTTAATGAGGCAAAACTGAATTCATTTTGTTTATTTTGTGCCTTTAATTAATGTACTTATACGCATATGCGTGTGTATACATGCGACATCGCTTATGCATATATGTATGCGCGCATGTGTGTCCAATTTTGTTTTACTTAATCAAACACATAACTCACGTAAGTGGATATTTTGTTTAATTGTAAATCAAATTTGTTTATAATATGTGCCCACTGACGTACGCGCACATTTTGTGTGTAAAAAGCAATCACCAGTGATATAAACCCTCCCCCTAAGTAATATATGTACCAATGCATATGTATGTCCGTCCTCTTTCCTTTTACAACTACGTTGTTTGTCCCTTTTTTTTTTTTTTTTTTTTTACAAGTGTATACTGCGTTGTGGAAAAGAGCAGCCAATCGCATCAAGCTGCTTTGCAGTGTAATGCATTTTTTGTTCCTCTCCCCTCAATCTGTTCTTTGAATTTTTTAAAAAATACGTATGCAATGAGTGAAGAAGCAAGTGTATAATTGTCACGTCTACAAGTATACATAAACGTGTGCGGTTTACGTATGCATGTATAATTTCGTGTGTTCCCTTTCGTATGTATGCAAAAGTTAAAGAAACACACCTGAGGATGCTGTGTTCTTTTTTTTTTTTTCTTTTTAATTTTGTACGTAAATGTAAATTAGAGTTAGTGAATTTCTCTTCCCCAGATGCAAAATTGTAAATATTGCAAAAGTTTGTGTTTAATTAAAGCCCGTTTAAAATTCACATTGTGCGTAAATTGCATCAGCACTGCCTGGATTATGGTTACCTGTTTTTTTTTAAATTTTTAAAAGGCACGCAAAAAAAAAAAGTGTTAAAAAACAAAAAAGGCGTGTGGAGTGTAGTTAATTAATTCATGTGCGTTTTTTGTTTTAACCTTCCAAAATTTTCACTTTAAAAAACAGCGCGGTAATTCTTTCATACTTTCATGTGGTGTACGTTTTTTTTTTTTTTTTTTTTTTTTCGTGAAAGTGCGCATATGTGTTGTTTAAATTAAGCATGACGTGTATACATGTATCTATCACACGTACGCATTTGGGTTTTTATACACTTCTCCCGGTGTATGTTACTTAACTGTATATGCACAAAGTACATCACTTAATCGCATGCACCCATATGTGCCTTTTGTGCAAGCCTTTATGCACCCACAAAGAAATAGCACATGTGCACATATGTAGATACCAGCGAAAGGCAAAAAATGTAGAAATACACAAATGCACAAACACAAAAATAGAAAAGAAGAAAAGTGCGCACACGCACGTATGAGTGAAATACGTGTAGAGAGTGGTGCATGTTGGTCTCTTTTTTTTTTTTTTTTTTGTTTTTTTCCTATTTCCTTGGTTCAAACATACATACGAGAAACTGTTTTTATATACATATATATTTTCTTTTAAATGTGAGCAAAATTGTTTATCTTTTTACATGCGCAGTTTATTCATTTTTTTGTACGCGTAACTGTTCACTGTTATATGTACGCCGAAAATTGTTCCCTACTTTGTTGCGCGACATTGTTCGTTTTTTCTTGCATCCGTTGTTTTTTTTTTTTTTTTGTAACAAGGTATTTTAAACGCGTGGAACAAATTTGGCTTGTTATTTTTGGAAGGCACGCTCTTTTCGCCTTTTTGAGCACAGAATGCATACTCAACACAATTTAAAAATTTTTTTTGAAAGAGTCCATACAGTTTTGGCGAGTGTACATAATCTATTATACGTAAATGCATATGTATAGAATCTATTGTGACTACGTGTACTTCAATATATGCCATACTTATTTGCATACCCACAAAACGGCGAAAGAAGGAAATACATATAATTTATTTTAAAGAAAACAAAGGAGGTTTTAATTTTTAAACATTTAAGTTTTTTTATTAATTAAAAAATTTTTCTTTCTTTTTTTTTTTTTTTTTTTTTTCACGCACCCTCAATTATCAATTTAATTGCTTATTCTTGTTATAGCGTATCATCTATGTTACATGTATATAATAAATGCATACATAAAAAACAACATTGCCTATTCATATTTTTTTTTTTTTTTTTTGACTGTTTTTTTTATACTGTTCATGCTTTGCTCACTATTTTTTATGGCTTGTCAGGAAAAAAAAAAAATAGTTAGCTAATATTCTTTTTTTCTTTTTTTTTTTTAATTCAGTTAGCGAAAATTTATACATACGTAAAATAAAAGCAAATATATGTACACATAACTGCGTTATTCGTTTGCTTAAACAATTTGAACTTTTTGAACGCGTTGGTATGTTGTAGTGTAAGTGCTTTTTTTTTTTTTTTTTTTTTCCATATTCCCATATACTTGCATTATAATATAATTTATGTGTTTCTCCACATTTTACGTGTTATCGAAGTTTTGTTTTTAAGAAGGATTGCGTGACAGTATATATCGTGTTCATGTACATGCCGCGGTGTTAACTCTTGCAACGTTCACCCGCACAACATAGTCGCTTTATTGTCAGAAAAAAGCGAGTGAAACATTTTTCCTACTGAATCATGTGAAAATTCGAATTAACGACCACATTATATCGCTTTTACATTTTTGCTTGTTTGTTCAACCTTCCGCAATAATAATTTATGAAGTTACCTGTTTGAAGGCTCCCGAGGCGACATCGTAAAATTTGTGTATACGTGTGCGCAGCGCTTGCATACAGCCACGGAGGTGCATGTAGATACATGTGCGACGTGTATGTGCGACTTACATGTGTGTATGTATATATATGTGCACATTCCTTCCCGCGCGTGTTCCTCAATCCACTTGAGAAGCGCGCTTCTTTCTCGTCTCGAATACCCTTCGTAGCGTTAACTCTTTAATAACATGTTTGTTGTATCATTGCCGATATGTTTGTGTACGTTCGAATTTTTCATGCTTATCACATATGCCTCATGTAATTATATTTTTGAGATCTCCACGCTACGTCACTATTTATTAACCACAAAGGTATGAGTCATTACGCCCTATTTATTTTTCTTATTTTATTTATTTTGTTCATTTTGTTCATTGTGTATTCCTCTGTTTTTGATATTTTTGTTCTACCAAGGTTTTAAATGCTTTTTGAAGGCATTGACCTTTTTTTTTTTTTAATATCTCCACCCCCTAATTAACCCTGTACGGTTCATTCGAATACCCATCGTTACCTTAACCTCGTAGATCTGTTACACGGATTGCCTAAGTGTGTGTACGTTTGTGTGTGTTTGTGTCTGATTGTGTGTGCATACATACATATCTATATGTATATATGTGCTCATCTGTTTGTGTGAATTCGTGTGCCCGCATACATATATATATATACGGTTTCATATATATGTGTGTATGTCTACATGTGCAGGCACATCAGGTGACGCCAGTACACCCATGTACATGTGACTGTTGCCAATTTAATTAAATTATACTGTTAATTTAACGCATTCTTTTTAACATGTCTAGCAAGAAATAGTAAAATGTTAAATAAACATTGTTAGTGGTACATATTTTATTTTTGAAAAGCCCCTTTTTTTTATTATTTTTATTTTATTTTTGCATATCTACACATCTGTCCCTTGATGTATGTGTCTTTTTTCGTTCTCCCTTTAATGGAAAAGGCACCTACATGTTGTCACTACAACAGGAACAAGGGAAAGAAGCACATATATATGTATACATATATATGTATGCTTTTATTTGTATGTGTATATATCCTTGTGTGTCTCGAATTAATATCATGGTATTGTTAAAAAATATACATGCACCAACCGAAAATTGACGTTATCGAGATCAAAAAATGACTAGTTGTAGTCTCAACTGTAGTATGTTACCTTGCATACACATACAAAACGAGAAAAGTGAAATAAATTTGGAAGACTCCAAGGAAGAAGACACAGAACATTGTTACAAAGATGAAAAGAATATCAATGCAGAAGAAACGGCGCATGTTAAAAGTGCAATCGATAATAATAACTTGTATGATAAATCGTTCGACCATTTAAATACTAGCGTTGGAATTCACGGCAGGAGTGACATGAACATGAGTAACATGGACCCTGCGGCGTACGAGCAGCTCGTGGCCAGCGCGAGCGCAAGTGCGCATGTGGACGCCAACTTTAGTGAAAATGCGAATAGGAGCACTTGTGTCGACACGAACGCTGACCTGAACAGCGGCACTCCCACGCGCTCTACTGACAAGGCGAACAAGAGCGCGAAAGTTAACGTGAATAAATGCACCCAAATTAAAGATTTCAACCCCGACGAGATGAAAGCGTCGTTTGAGAAGGACCGGAAGGATATCCTTCTGAACACTTACAACTACCACTTCAGCAATAGCTACGGGGACATAAACCAGTGTGATCAAAAGAGCCAAGACGACATGAGCATTTACTACTACAAGCGGGTGTCCCTTAATTTTATGAATTACGCTTGCGGCTCAGAGTATAAACACTACGATAATAACAACGCCAACAACAGCAGCAGCAATGGAAACGATAGCAGTAACGCCAACACTAGCAGCATCAATGGAAACGATAGCAGCAACGGCAACGACAGTAGTAACGGGAACGTTAGCAGCAATGCTAACGGTAACGCTAGCCCGTCGGCCGAAAAGTCCTGTCAAGTAAATCTGAAGAAGTGCAACACGAATAACCTTTTTTTTAGAACCAATTCTTACGACAATGTATTTTTGAAGAAGATAAAGATAACCACTGTCGACAATAAGTGCACCAGAAAAAGCATAAAAAAGTACAAAATTCCCTTTGAGCCCAATTTTTACAGCAGTCGCTTTTTCTTCTCCGACAAGAACATAAATGAAGATCCCCTTCCCCAGAATGATAATTGCACAAAGTATTGCAGTTCCTTGTCTGTTAATTATAACAAGGTCAACAGTAATTGTAGTAGTGACAACGCCGCTGTAAATAACGTTAGCAGCGGTATTGGCCATGGGAATAATTCCAATGGCCTTAGAAATCCAGGGAGGCGTAACAACCCCAGTAGTAGCAACAATGGCAGCAGGAGTAACAGCTCGAATACAGCGTACAAATATTTTCCTCGGTATTCCTACATTATGCGGTTCGAGGGCCCCCCACCACATTTCCTCATTTTGAAGTACAACAATGTTACGAAGAAAACTAACATAGTAAAAAAGGTACCAGTGAATAAGAACATTTCGTTCAACCTTGCGAAGTTTATTGCGGAAAAGTACATCCAGATTTTGAGAAAGAACTTGAGGAAGAAGGAAAAGAAAATGGAGAAGAATACGAACGCCGGGGGCGAACCGGACTATGGTGAAGTCATCGGGGGTGAAGTGGACGAAGAGGTAGTTTATAATGGGTCACGCGCTGACAGCAACAAGGGAAGTAACGGCCGAGGTAGCAGCGAGCGTCCGAACGGAAGCCAAGACGGGAGCAACGACGCATGTGACTGTAAGAAGAATGTGGACTACAACAACAGCACGAACTGTGAGAGTTATCGGGGCACCTATGTCCAATTCGACACGAAGAATGATGAAAACGATGACTTGAACAATAACAACAGCAGCCCCTGCAGCAGTCGCCTCCGTGACGACGACAACGGGGATGAGCTGGATAATGAATACGATAATGAGAACAATAATGAGGACAATAATGAGGACAATAATGAGGACGATAATGAGCAAAATAATGAGAACGAAAACAGCGACCACAACAGCCTTCCCAACCCCAGCGGGGGGAGCAGCGCGACGAACAATTTCGGCGCGAGGAGTCAAAATAACTCGGACTGCTCCGCAAGCAAAAGCAACGAGCAGTTAAGTGACGAACGACGAATGGCTGAGAACCCGCGCACAGGCGAACAGCCCTTCTGCAGTGAACTCCTAATGAATAAGAATGACGAGAACAACTACAGTAACGATCTGCAGAACATAGATGTGAATTCGCTTAGTTACGAAAATTACAGCTCGGAAAATGTATATGATGAGCAGCTCTGCACCTATGAGTACCTCAACATAGACTTGGACAATGTCGTTTTTAATACGGACACGGAGAAGTACATCAAGTTTTTAAGCAACGTAAAAATATACTACCTACATAAAATGGATGATATGAGAAAGATCCTTCCCACATGTGACGAGTCGACGGGAAATAAGCTGGTCATTTTGGTAAAAATAAAATATGGGACGTGCGTAAAATCCAAGGTCTTCATTTTTGAGAACGTGCAGGATATGATGAGTGAGTACGAGTATGTGGACGGCGATTCGCTTGACAATATGGAGCAGGGTGATGGTGAGAATACGATGCAGTTTATGCTGAGGAGGGGTGCAACCAATGGATATGCTGGGGGGGGAAGTGCCTATTATGGGGCAAATCATGTGAAGAGCGAAAGCGGCAGCACTGGGCCCAATGGGAATAGTAACAACGAATCGGCGAACAGTGATTCTGTGGCGAAGGTGCCAACGGAGAGTGCATGCAGTGCGGGGATGGATGAGAATGGCGAAGCGAATGCGAAGAACGAAGCGCCGCAGGATCGGGAAAGTGAGGACATAGAGAAGAAAGGTGGGAGCGACGCAAGCTGCAGCAAGGATGGTAGAGAGCCTGGGATGTGCAAATTGGAGCACAGCGATTACCTTTTGAGCTCCGATTACGCAGGGCACGAACGGACAGTGAAGCAGGAGGTGTTTGAAGGGGAAGAGAATAATGATGTTGGAGATGGAAGTAGCAATAGTAACGGTGGCGTTGGCGAAACGACGAAGCGCAACCTAGCGGAGGAGATGGAGAAGAAGTGCAGCGCATTAGGAATCATTCCCGCCGATAAGACAACTCCTGAAATGAACGAACGGAAGGCAAAAAAACAAATGACCCTCAACTATAGGAGAAAAATCATGCACTTTATACGAAATAACGTGTACATAAATTCATACATATACGACTGCTTTGAAAATACATACATGAACAGTCAGTTCTTCAAGAACGACGTAATTATAGTGAACGATTTGTGTGAAGAAGATCAAATGGTCGATGACATCCCGGAGTACATATACGAATTGAATAAATTTGTCTTTATTAAGTTTACGAGCTTTGATCAGTACGTTAGGAAGAATCACAAAATTGCAGAAGGGTACGTACAGTACTTGCTACAGAGTAATATAAAGTGCATTAATAGATATATGATAGGTATAAGGTGGGTTCCGGATATTTATGCATATGAATATTATGTGTGCAAAATTATGGAGGGGAAGCCGAAAGGTAGTGAATGGAACAACCAGCAGAAGTATAACTACTCCCTGACGTTGCAAAAAGACTCAAATGAGAAAACGTTGAAGTATTTGGTGGACTACGAGAATAAGGTTATTGAGAATGTGTTGTGTGTTTTGCACGAGTATTATCAGGCCAATTTATTTACTGAGAAGTGCATCTTCAATTTATTTAAGTTGGTTCTGCTGAGGGTGAGTCCTTACATTGGAGTTTTGAACACGAAGGTCATTACGCTGGATCTGGACAAGGCCATGTATCGAATGAAGAAGTTTTCGGAGCCCATAAGTTTGTATGGCAACGGCGCTGTTGCCGGGAATGAGGGCTGCACGCCCGAGGGGTCGGACAATAGGTTCCTCGCGGGGGGTAGCAATGGTGGGGTGGAGTGCAGTATGGCAGAGTATCAGATCGAGCACCAGAACGATAATGCGTGGAACAGTAGGCCCCCCATGCACGTGGGCACCTCTGTCGACGGAGGGAATGCGAATTGTCAGGGCACTCGCATGGGCCGCAACGACCAAACTCAGGAGGAAGCAGAGCCAAAGCACTCATCTGACAGCGACCCCAGCAATCTGCTGCAGGTGTACGACCCCTACAACGATTTGTTCCTCAAGAAACAAAATTACGAAAATGAGGGATACTTGGAAAACAAATTAAGAAATAAAAAGAAAGTTAGTTACAACTTGGATAACACTTCCCTATCGTTGAGGACTCGACAGAAAAGAAAGAATTTAGCCATACCGAAAGGAGCAGTTGGGGTCTCAAACAGTGGTGCCTCTGCTGCGAGCAACGAAGTTGGGGGAAGCGTAACTGGTGGGGAGTCCTACAGCATAAAGTACTACAGCTCGTCGGCGGATAACAACAAGGTAGGAAATTTAAATAATCACAAAAAGGAGTACAATTCGAATGGCAGCGATTTTAGTGCGACATCCCATTTGACGTCGAAGCATAAGTACCACCTCCGCAGCAACAATGCGCAATCGACGGATAACTACTCCTCCGAGGAGTACGTGTCTAGGATAAAGCTGAGGGGCAGAAACAAGGGAAGGAGTAGGATGCTGTACAAATTGATGAACAAAAAGGGGTTGATAGAGCCCTACTGGTGGTTTTTCTACAATTTGTATGAGAACGCAACAATACAGGATAGTGCCAGCAGTTGTAGCAGCACGCAGGGGAAGAATGATGGGATGATGCGCTCGTTGAAGTTGAAGGGCAAGAAGAGTAGCGGTGGCAGGGCTGGCGGTGTGGGTGGAGACGTTTCTGTAGGTGACGTGACTTCCTCCACTCTGAGGCAAGGTGAGCACAAGATGAGCAACCTGTTCAGAGATTACGAGAACGGCAAAAAATCCCGCAAGTCGCGCGAAAACAGTGAGAACTACATCTACAACAAGTTGTTAGAAAAAACGTACAATAGCAATTTAATGAACCATTTGTGCCAAAGGAAGAATAAGATCAAGATCAAGTACATTTCCATGGTGCATGATATTATATACAAAAAGTTTATTCTCCTGAGTAATACAATTTTCCCGAGAAATGTACACGAGTCTGAAATATTGTACACGCTGTTCCCTCACGAGCCTCACACCTTCATGTTTTTGTACACGGATGATAACTTCCAATATCAGAATGAGACCTGTTGGAAGTACGTAACATTTAGTGACCAGTTTATGAATAAGGATTATTTGCGGGATGGTAGAAAGGGAGCGATGCTGTTTCAGGGTGGTGCGGATGGCTATGGGTTAGGTGCCAGTGGTGGTTTGCTTGGTGATGCTCCTATTGGGGGTGTTATCCCAGGCGATCTGTACGAATGTGGTTTGTGGTCTCTAGATACATGCAATGAGCTACACAATGGGAATATAAATATGAACGTGCATGTTGGAAGCAGACGAGGACTTGATAAAGATTTTTACGTGGACCATTTGATTGTAGGAGGAACGGAGGGGTTGGTTGATTCATCCGCAAATGCGTTGTTGATAAATGGGAACTTAAAATATTCAAGCATCCCCAATTATGAAAGAGTGAAAAGTAGCCGACGGGATGCGTACTTGGGGTTGGGTGAAATTGGAGGAAGAGCGTCGGGGGCGCTAGGATACAACTCGCTGTTAAATATTGGTGGTGTAGAGGACGGTCTGGTTTTTGGCAATTACGACGCAAATTATGCGTTCGGCGGAAATGTTGATCCATATCGTACAGGGAATGAGGTTGGCGGTGGTCTTGTCGCGGGCTCTAATGCATACCTGGACGCGCCGGCCAGCACGGGGCATAAAGTGTTTGGCTTTGAAAGGAGCAGAAGGGAAATCAAGCCCAACGAGTATTACGACTATTTCATTAGGGATAAAAATTTGCTGACTGTGAAGGACAAGTTTCACAACATTGGTGAGAAGAGAAGCGTGTCCAATACGACCTTCGGAAGGGGTAGTAAATATTATGACCATTACAGGGACCAGGATGATAAAAAAAACACGAGCGACAATGATATCTCATTCATTAAGAAGAAGAAGCATGGTAATAAGAGAACCAAGAGTAATAACCTGTCCAGTGTGAAAAATTTTAGCAATCTGTGTGGCAGCAACAAGAGCGACATGAACAACAATGAGTTAGGTGGCAACGTGCACGAGGACTCTATGATCCCTATGGGTCCGCTGCCAACAGGGGTATACTTCGACTCTGCGCGAAAGCTTTGGAGATGCCAATGGAAGGAAAATGGAAAGTTTAAGACAAAGGGTTTCAGCTTGATTCATTACAATACCCTGGAGGAGGCGAGAAAGCAGTGCATTTTATACCGATGTGAAGTGGGTAACATACCTGTTAAAAGTGAATGGCTGAATCCTGTGTATGTAAGTTCCTCCTACTTCTATAACAAAAAATATGCTAGCAGTGCGAATAACACGAATAACAACGCCACGAATTATGGGACCCCACATAAGGAGTTAAAAACGAGTTCTTTAAATTTGAATCGTTTGAAGGAGCAAACGAATGGCGTGGACAGAAATGGTAAAGGGTTCATGGACGGATCAAGCAAAGACTCGAGTGACAACTACTACGGTGCTGTTGGTGGTGGAGTAGGAGGAAGTGCAAGCGCTAATAGGTATTCCACGAGAAACAATACGGCCTCGAGCACTCTGAACTTGCTGAATACTGATAAGGGAAACGAGATTGATATTTCCATTTTGCAAGAATTCGTGACAAAGAATAAGGAAAATCAAAACATGAATGAGAAGGGCGGCGACGCAGTGAGTAACAATCTTGGTATGGAGGAAGACGTGGTAGGGAATAATGACATGTTCTTCTTTGAAAATGGGAAGGTGGACGGCAGTGCAGTGAATGAGATGGGGGAGGAAGGCCAGCCAGACGGACAGGTGTTGGGCGATGTTGGGGACGAGGAAAATGGAGAGAACCTCACTGGGAGAAGAAGCAAACGCATGAGAAGTAGCCCTAACAATGACACAAATTATCATATAGAAATTAATGGCGAGTTGAAGGACTACTACGGAAGGGGAAGTGCTGAGGACTTCATCCCCACTTTGGAGAACGTGAATAATTTGGAGAAATTTCGAAGTGCATTTGATAAAAAAATGCTGAAGGAGATGCAAAGCGTCAATGCGGAAGGGAGCAACAGGGGCTACGACTTAATGGTGGGTGGTGATGGTAGTACAGGGGTAAACCGCGCCTCAGGAAATAACAATAGTAGTAATGGCGAGTACGGCTCGATGTTGAGCAATTTACAGACCATGCTTCAGATGCTGCAGGGCAAGGACGGGAAGGATGACCAGCAATTTAAGTCCACTTTGAACGGAGTGAAGAGTGAGAATGGGCCATCCGCCACAGGCGAGGCAGGCGAACCGAACTTGTTGGACGTGGGTACTGGTAGCAAGGGCAACAGCGCCGTGGATGGTGCAGACTTGTACCGCATGTTACATGGCATTAAGAATGAGATGCTGCTGCAGAACGAGAATGAAAATAATTTGTCCTATTTCACTGGAATTCGAAAGAGGGGAAAGAAGAAATTACATAAGAAGGATTTCCATTCCGTTATGAGAAAGGAAGTAAATGGAGAGAAACGAAAGAAAGTGACGCTAATGAACGTGGTGAATTCGCTAGACATTATTGGAAGAAATGGAAACGAAGGAAAATTTTTGGATGACCCTGAGGATGGCAACAATTTGTTACTGAACGCTGGCAACCTTTGCGAGAGCATCTCCGCGTTTGTCAAATATGCCAGCCAGAATAATCAGTTAGGTCGTGGTGATGGTGCTGATGGTGCTGATGGTGCGGCAGGGGTGGAAGGAGGACTTGGCGCGTTGTCCATGAATAAAAACTATGATGAACATGGAGGCCCACCCCCCCCAGGAGATGGTGGTATGACCGGCAGTAGTGGCATGTCGAAGGTGAACAAAGGAGGAGATTTGGCGCAGGGTAACAATTTCCATGATATATTTTTTCAGGACATTCAGAACTTTTTAAACTTTGCCAAGGATAGAAAGGATGTTGCAACAGGGGGTAGTAGTGGTACTGGTGATGGTGTGGTTGGAGACAATGTGGCGGGTGCTGTGGGGATGGGAAACGGATTTGAGGGTGAGGAGGCGGCCGAGGGTTTGGCCTATTTTAAGGGCAGGAATTTGAACTCCAGCAGAGTGAACAGTGAATATGAGAATTACCTGAGATCGATCATGGTTCAGTACGAGAAGGAGGAGAAACGGAGACAGAAGCAGAGGCAGAAACAGGACGCGCAGCGGACGGCGAGGAAGAGCGAACAGGGAGGTGATGATGGCGCTGGCGTGTTTGCACTCGGTGAGGAGGATTTGAACAATGCCGGTGGCGGTAGCACGATTAATAATGTGATCGGTGCGAACCCTTTGGAGAATGACGAAATGGATGGCAGTAGCGGCGATAAGAAGGGAGCAGCAGTAGGCTACCTAGAATCGAACGAAGACGGCATTAACGGTAATGGCGTCGTAGAGAATGACAAGGGAAATCAGGACCAAGGGAAAAACCTGTCCGTTGGATTTTTTCAAAAATATCTGAGCCTATTTAGCAGGAATCAGCAGAGCACCGCAGAAAATAACAACATCCATAAGGAGGCGGATGATGATGACAATATTAATAATGTTAGTAATAATAAAGCGGAGACTTCTTCAACCGGGGCAGGAGGGAAGGAAGGCCTGGAGAACGCCAACTACGTGGAGGAGTATAAGAAGCGAGAAAAAGAAACAAACGATTACAATACAAGAAAGAAGAAGAAGAAGAAAGGAGACGTGTCTTACTTTTATATGAATAACAATGATTACTACTACTACGACGATGATAATTTTAACGACCCCCTCAATGAAAACTACGATGATGATAATTTTAATGATCATTTCAATGGAGGCTACAACAATTTTAATGACCACCACTTCAATGAACAATACGAAAATTTTAAGGCCAATGAGTACGGGAATGGTCACCACCTGGTGGATGACAAATTGGACCCGAATTATCTGGGTGGGTTTAATTATGGCCCTGGAGATAACGGTACACGTGGGTATGCGAGGAAGAAGGCCAAAACGAAAAAGAGTAAAAATAATGGTACAGGTCTTGTAGGGGATGGTAATGGCACTTTGGGTATTTTGTCTGATGATGAATCGAACATGATGATGGGTGGGGGAAAAGGCAGTGTTAATGGAGGTAAGAAGAGTAATTCTGGAGGAGACGTGGACATTAATTTGATAAAGCAGTCGCTCCCGAAAGGCATTTATTATGATCACGCAAAGAAATTATACCGAGTGCAATATATAATAAACAACTCCATTAAGACGAAGGGGTTCAGTGTGAAGAAATTAGGCCTAGCACAAGCGAAGATTGAAGCGGAGTCGTTTCGCAATTTCTGCCTGGAGAACGGGCTTTTGAATTCGCGCAAGAGGAGAATCAACTCGCCCTATAACAAGAAGGAAGAGAAGAATTTCAAAATGATAAAGGATAATGAGGAGATCCTGTCCAACCTGCTCTACTTGTACAACGCGAATAATGGGAAGCAGCCGATGGAGTGAGGTGTTTACACGCATTTATGGACGGCAACGCCAGAGCAGCAACCGGTGCGGTCATATAGATATACCTCGTGTCCCTCGTGCACGCACGCACACACACACATATACACCATTGTGCGAGAGGGGATCCAATTTGTGGGTCTACTAGACCATTTGACACGCACGCTTCTCTGCGCATTTTTGTGTGGTGGGGCGTGTTGGGGGCTGACAGCCGACCGACCAACCGACATAACTTTTTGCCGACACAACGTTTGGCCAACACAACTTTGTGGCCAACTGACCTCTTGGCCGAATTGCAGTTTTTTTTTGAGTTTGCCGTTTGGAGTTCCGGAGTTTGTCTTTTGACGTTTGTCTTTTTTGAAGTTTGTCTTTTGAACTTTTTCATTTGAACATTTTCATTTGAACTTTTCCTTTTGAACTTTGTCCTTCCGGCATTTGTCCTTCGGCATTTGTCCTTCGGCATTTGTCGTTCGACGTTTGTCGTTCGACGTTTGTCGTTCCACGTTTGATGTTTTAAAAATTTGTCTTTTAATTTTTCCTTTAAGCGTTTTACCGCTAATTTGGCTTGATGTTTCCGAAAGGGGTGGGGAGGAGTTGAATTTTCCTCCATTTGTAAATTGGCTGCTGAATTGGTATATATACCTCTTTCTTTTTTTTTTCTGTTCTTTTCAATTTGGCCTGGATGGACCTCCTTGCTCTGTAGGCTCGTCAGCAGCTGAGCTTATATATGTGCGTACCTGCACTTCGAATCATTGTTGTAGATGCGTTAAGAGCCTGTTTTTTTTTTCATTTTAATAATTCACTTTTGAGAAGAATTATTATCCTATTCACATTTTCAACTCCCTGTAAAAACGATTTTAACAATTAATGGAAGATTTTTGTTTTTTTCTTTTTTTAATGTTTTTCCCACCACGTGTGTGCATGTTTATACCAGTGGGACAAACTCTTTTGTGGGGAGACTATTTTAACATGGCAGAGGTGCGTTCTTCCCCCAAGGGTTTTGATCCAGCAGAATTTTTTTTTTTTTGTGGCACAAATCAGATGACTAGGTGTGACTTTACGCATACGCTTATAGCATAGTGTAGCAGGCTTGCCCCCATAGTACATGTCGCTTTTCCACATAAGTGCACTTATATATGTGCTTACAGAACTTTACTTTTGAGCAAGTAAAGAAAATATAGTGTACCCCCCCTCCTCTCATCCCCTGTTTTATTCATCCCTGTACGACCATTTGCGCGAAGTGGCATCAGCTGACGTTGTAAATTTTTTTTTTTTTTTTTTTGCATAGAGTGTAGATGGGCGCTTCGATTTGAGAAGGGAGGTTGGCCTTTTCGTGTTTTCAATTTCTCCCAAGTTTGAGGGAGCACCCCGATTAGGTTAGGCAGAGGTATGCCGTGTATGTGTATACGCGTTGACGAGAATACACATCGCAAGTGTAGGTACCTGCTTGCGTGTTTGACGCGTTCGCCCTGGATTCGTCTTCGTCTTCTTCTCAGTTATGTTCTCATTGTGGAGCTTCCCCCCCCTGCTGATATTGGGAGTTCCAGTTGAGGAAGAGCATTGTTGGGGTGACCTGCAAAGTGGTGGGCGTCCGTATCGAGGAGCCAAATGAGGAAGCTGCTGGTGGAGGCAACACGGGTTGGTAAGCCCACATATTACTACCACCTGCTGCTGCTCCCCCCAGTGGCGCACTGTATTCCTCCTGTCCATGTGCAAAAGATTCCATTTGGAAGCAAAAAACAAAAAGAGAAAGTGGACAAGGAGACGAAGAAGCTTCGCAAATTTTTGAAAATATCTGGTGTGAAAAATGAAGTGCAGTTTGAAGAAGCAGAGGAATCGAACAGCAGGAGTGGAGGCAGTCATGGAGAGAAGGATGAGCGGGAGAGAGATGCTACCCTGACGCATGTGGATTACGAAGCATACGACATGAAGGCACAAGACATTGTTAAATCTTTTGAAAAAAAAATGAAAAAAATATATGAGAATAATTTAAGTGTTGATTTTTTTAACAGTATGGTTGTTGAGAAAGAGAAGCAAAAATTTAATTTATCCGATTTAGCCCAAGTGGTTTTGAAGTCAGCCAAGGTGATTTACTTTTACCCTTACATGACTAGCGACGCGCAGAAGATTATTTATCATTTGAAGATGAAGGACAATACATGGAACCCTACTATGTCTAATGATGGGCAACACATTTTGTTGCATATCCCTCCACTGACGGAGGATGTAAAATTAAAGAAAAGGAAAGAAGCCAAGGAGCTGTTGGAGAAGATCAAAAACGACTTGCGCAATCTGCGTCACAGGATACGCGATGACATTGCCAGGCTTGTGCAGAGCGAGGAGTGGAAGATCGTCGAGCGGAACAAGTTGGACGCCTACATAAAGGGGAAGGTCAAGGCGATCGAGGATATATACACCAAATACGCGGGGGGTGCCGGGTCGTAGAGATGTGCAACGGTTGGAGTGGCCTTGCAGCTTGTCTGGCTATAGCACAGTTAACGCCATTCCGCTGGTCCACCCCTAACCAAATTCCTTTTTTTTTTTTTTTAAAAATCATTGCTTTCGCGATGTAGTGCTGGTTTACCTCGTTCGGGCAGGATCAAATGACACGCTTCACTTCATTGTTTAGGAGGAACTTGAAGGCTCCCTCCCTTTTTGGTCCCGCACGTCGAGGTAGCTTGTGCATTCCCTGGGGATGAGAGAAAAGGAGCAAAGTTTTCAGAACTGCAGTGTGAGCACTGGTTTGCGGTTATGAATAAAGAGAAACGAATGTATGTCTTCGTCTGACACTAATTTTTATGTGTTAAATTTTTGTTTTTTTTTGCACCCGGGGTAGTAGGTCAACATGTGCCTCTTGGTGAAATAATATATATTGTCGCTCTCTCCTGTAACAAGGGACGCAATATGTGAAGCGGGTGACACTGCGTGAGGGATAAGAACACAAGGTTATTACGCTTCGCACCTTTTTTTGTTATTATAACAACCAAAAGGAAATATCCCTCTCACCTGTATCCATGGAAAAATCAGGGACGATTTTCTTCACGTAGGCCAGGACGTCCTCCACGTCGAGGTTTAGCGTCGTCGCGATGTAGAATACCAAGAGGGAGAGAATTTTATCAAGGGAGAAGTAGCTGTAGGGTATAGGAAAAAAAAAAAAAAAATTGTGACAGGGGAATTCATCTCACGGGGGGCGGGGGTGCACATTTCCCCACTCTGTTCATCTTTCATACCTGTGGATAAAGACTTTATTTTGGCCATTTTCAAAGAGGATCTCATCGAGCAGAAATTTCAAATGAGTACAGTGCGTGCAGTCATAATGGTCGTCCAGGTCGATGATGTAATACTCGAACTTCTGTATCGTTGGGTGCGTGGGTGGAGGTGCACACACTGTGGGTTCTCATATGCTCAGGAAAGATGGTGAACCCACGTAGGTATAGATGCACGCCATTGCAGGAGAAATATGACTTACATGTGGGTAAATGATCCTAGCTGTTTGATGTTCTTCTTTGCACCTTACGATTATGATGTCTGCGGCAAGGAGGGGGGGTTCATCGGGTTGTTGCCATTTTACTGCTTTGCGCTATTTGAGTGGTGGCGGGAACTAAGGTGTGCCTCTATCGTATTATGATTGTCTCTCCGCAGTTCTGCCTATTAGGCGCGATGCCACTCTGGTCATTCGGCGCTTCCCCTCCCTGTGTACGCGTAATGCCGATGCTGCTGAGGAGCAGGATGTTCTTGGAGTCCTCGTAGTCCCCCACGTAAACTCTGGTTATGATTTCCCTGAGGCCCCTTTTATATGTCTCCCTTGCTTCCGTCTCCTCGTCGTCGTTTCCCCGTTTGACTTCCGTTGCGAGCAGGCCCACCGACAGTTGGCCCATATGGGTTCCTTCGACGGTGCCCATATTCACTTGTGCTGTTTCTCGTTGGCTGTGTCCCGCATCGTTCGGGAGCAGCTTTCAACAGGGATACACAGTGCGGGGGTGCGGGCACAAAAAAAAAAAAAAAGTATGCACAAAAAAAAAAAAAAATAAACTTACACAAATAAAGTGCCCATATGATGGGAATAAATGCATGATTACTTTAAAGGCGACCGCTTCCTCCCGTCTGGTGGTTCCCTTTTCGTAAAAATTGAAAAAAAAAAGGGCCCAAGGAAATCCGACCCGAAAGTCCTTTTGTGAGCAGTAGACACGTGAGCAGGGGGGTTGAGAGCAGTGGAGGCGGAAAATTGCCGCGCGAAAATTGGTGCGTGAAAAATCGTCGCGGAATTTTCTGCGGCGGAAAATTGCGCGAACGGTTGAGCAGTCGCATGGTTTTCATCATCATCATAAATATAATCAGAGTTTGTTCGAGGTGGAAACAAAATATACGTTTCGTTTCTCCCGTTCAAGTCCCCGCAAGGGTGTACATTTTCATGTATCTGTGTGCCAACATGCTGTGACGCGAGCGAGCGAAAAACGCGAGGAAAATTGGCCCTTCGCGCGCTAGTGAAAAAATACCGAGCAGTGTTGCTGCGGTGTTGGTATCGCGGCGCGTCACACTGCATACCATCCCATCGCGACGCATACGGCCCGAGCGGTAACCTTTTTCAGGGGAAACATACAGCGGACACACGTACACACGCCAGCCAGGCCCAAATTGGCCACGCAAAAAAGGACATATGTATACGTATATATAATAGTCAAGAAGTGGAAATTGCCAGTTCGTCGAAGCCATCCCGGCGTAGCCAAGTGGACGCAGATCGTTGCTGTGTGCAGTAGTAGCCATCGAGCAGGATTCTTCCACTTCATCCTCACCCGTTCACACATACATACGTACGCATACACACACACAATAACACACATACGCACGCATACCGCGGAGACAGAATAAGAACAATGGAGTACTACAGAGGGGAGAAGAGCCGCTGGGTGAACCAACATGATAGGAGCAAAGTACAGAGCAGTAAAGAGGACAATTATGTTTTCATCGATGAGAAATATAAAAATTATTTTGACCACATAAGTGATATATTTGAAGACAAGGTGGAGTACATACTAAAAAAACATTTTAAGAAAAACGAACCGACCAATAAAAATAAATTACTCTGTTTAAACGTGTGTGTTTTGTGGCAGAAGAGGTTTTTAGTTTTGTTGAGCAGAAGCCTCAATGAGTTCGAAGCGTATAGGAAGAAGCACGAGTTGAAGGATGACGAGAAGGGACGGCACGTAGGTGAGGGAGGCGGACAGAAACATCACACTGTTGAAGAGCCAGGGAAGGGTGCAAATGAAATTGGTGAAGACGGAAATGAAAAGGATGGAAATAAGCAATGCACAGAGGAGTTGAAGAGTTTCATTAAAAATGTAAAAGTGGTTGACAACCAAAGCATCGAGGTTGTTTATGATGCGAATGATTTAAGTGATGATGGTAGACCGTGCGCCCAACTGACGACAGACGAAATTTATTACCTCTTGGTGGAGTCAAAAAAAAGTGAAAACGATTTAAAAAAAAATATCTTTACATTTTTGAAATACCTTCCTCTTTTTATCAAGTGTATAGAAAACAAAAGTTTAATCGAAAAGTCCATTTTAGAATCGAAGCTTCTTTTAAATGATACCCATGGGAACAACCCTAATGAGGAAGAGGTTCCCCACTCAGATGAAGTACATGTAAATGTGAATCCTTCGCCTCAGGAAAATTTATCCCCCATCGAAATACAAAACAAGTTAGACGAAATTGTACATTTCGATTGTAATTTGTCAGAAAATTTGGAGTCCATTTTTAAGTCCGGAGTAGGAATACTAGATGTGACGAATGGGAAGAAATTTTGTACCGGTGGGATGGATACTTTGGGTTGTACTCATGGGGGGGATGATGCAGTTAAGGAGAGCATGAACGGGATGGAAAATCGAAAGGAACAAGATGCTGAGACAAGGGATGAGTATTTCCAACAGCATGCCACCTTTAACAGTTTGGCAGATGTATCTAAGAATTTCTTTAGTAAAAAAAATAACAGCTCACTTATTCTACCTCTCTCCAAGATTAACGATTTGTCTCTTATAAATAACATCAGCACCAGGTCGAACCATGATATGAAGGAAGAGCACTCAGAAAGTGAAGCTGCATTTTACATTTACAAAAACAGCATGGATAAACTAAACCTCTACGGGATGGATTTACTCATCAATTTAAACAATAAGTTAATTTACAAAATTAATCACATATATAGTCTTATTCAGTTTTACTCCATGTTAGCGAAGGATGTGTTTAATGAGGGGTAGGTTTTGCTCTGTCCTCACCCAGGCCGCTAAACCTGTTCCTCACTCGTAGTACCTCCGGTGCTCCTTCACATCGTTGGAAATTATTTTGATTATTTCCTTTTTCTTTTCGTCCATTGCTTTTGCCATGTGTGCGTAAAGCCTTTCCCCGTACTTGTTCATTTTTCTGCAAAGCAGGGAAGGGGTTAAACGAGGGTTAGTGCCCCATTCTGAAGGCAACCGAGGGAGGTATATAGCCATTTCTTCCCCCTTTGTCTTTTTTTCCCTTTTTTTTTTTCTTTTTTCCATTTTAAAAACATGCTCACTGTTCCAATTTTTTAGCAATGTAGAGGTTTTCCTCGTTGTAGGGTAGGTAGAATATCTCCGCGTCCTTCTTCTGCTTCGCGCCGCTGTCCACTTTGCTGTGATCGCCCGCGGCGCCATACGCCTTGTCGATCTTTTTGACGATGTCGCTGAGGTCGTCTTAGTGCGTGAAATGGGGGGGAGCGCGTGCATGTGGGTGCTATTACATATGTGGGCGAGCACACAAGTCCGTGCGTGTGCATGTACATGCCTTCATCTCCGCAGGCCCCCTTTTTGCAAAGGAGCAAGACAATTACACGTACATTCAGCAGATATATCCACGTGGTGAATTTTTAAAAAGGCCAAGTTTCCAGCCCCTTGTGTGCTTGCCTTCTCTGGGGGAGAGTCTCTACCGAGTGGGCTACAAAATGGGTGGCACAAAAGAGCATAGTGGACATAAATTTGCGTACAACTATGGTATCTGCGTTCCCAGTGGAATGATTTAGTTCAAGCCGTTTTGCTAATTTTCCATCTGGACGAAGCCCCCTAGGGGGATGCATATATACGGGTACCCCTACCCATCAAATGCCTATTTTTTTTTTTTTTCTCCTTTTGTTATGATTTTTTTTACGTGTCTCCACTTGAGAAGGAACCAGCGGGCAAGAGACTTAACACATGAACACAGAAAATGACATTGTTGCACAGATTGTCATGCAGGTACATGAGATGGTTTGTTAGCATTCCTCTTATCACTGAAACGTATGAATGGAATAGGGACTTGATGGCTTGTTTCCTCTTTGTGACGTGGCTAGCTGTGTCTTCCCCTGTATCTGTAACTTTGAGGTCCTCATTTAATTCTTTAAATTTTTTCAGCAAATTTTTTTGCATGGTGTTTATTCGTTCGCTGTGGGATGGAATGACATAGTGTTTATATAGGGTGATTTATCGTTCTGGTGGTGATGTTGCGATGGTTCTGATATGAAATAGGCGGTGCATACATTGGAAATGTGATCCTCTGTCTGAGGTTTCTACGGGGTGGTGTGCCTGAAGGTGTGTTTTACTCCTTTTGAATGGATTCTTACGTGCACATAGATTCGTGGCGCTTGTAGATGCAGCGGAAGGTGAAGTAAGCAGCTTTCTTTAACAGGACTTTCAGGTAAGTGGCCAGGGTATATATGTCTTCCGCGTACTGTTGAGGAAGTGCAATCGGGGAAGGGGCATAAACGCGAGGAGTAGTATGCAGGGGAGTTGTTGAAATTATGCATACACGGCTTCTTCACTGATGAGGAATCAACTTCTTGCAGCGAGGTCGTGGAGCCGCCGCGCTAGTAATTGAACCCTACCTCGCTGTGTATCTTCCCAACAAGAATGTCGTTTGCACTGGCGGAATGCAGAGCGCGAAGTTGAGCAAAAGTCCTCTCGAACAGTTCCGACACGGTTTCCTTTTCAAATTTAAACAAATGAATGAGCTCCGTTCTGCGTGACACATGATCGGGACAAAATACAAAAGAAGACATGGCCTTCTTGTTCACCATTAGGTCAGTCACAGCGGCTTTCTTGCTCTTTACATTGTCCGCCAATATATTGTTCTTATATATGATATGTGAAAGGTCGTATGAGATGAATAAGAAGTGGTGGTATTTTGGTTGTCTTTCCTTGGGGAAATCTTTGGAACGAGTTTTTTGGACTACGTTACTTATTAGGTGGATAATGTACACACATGTGTAGAGGAAGAACTTCACATCGAGGTAGTCCTTTCGTATAATTTCATTCTCCGCATAGGAGGACGCATCAGGGGGGTTATCTTTCACGATGTTCGATTCACTTTTCTTGCTGTTCTGTTTTATCTTCATCCCAGTGTGTGTGATTCTTTGTGTGCTTCTGACGTTCGTTTTTGTGTCGGACGTGCAGGTTTCGTGTTCTGCCCCAGTGTCGGGTTTAGGGGCACACTTCTGTGGTGCAACCGTCTCGCATGAAGACCCCGCCGGGGCTGGTTGCTTTCCCATTTGCTCGATCCCTTTCACCCCTCTTTGTTGTTCTTGTTCTGCTTCTTTTCCTTTGCGTCTCGCCTCGTTATCAACGAGGCCAAAGGTGAGGTAGTCATCTGGGCTCTCATGCATGCCGGTAGCTTTGGAGAACACCAAGTGGGGCAGGTGCGGGCTTATCATGCGAGAGAGAAAAAAATTTGTCACAATGGAATCCTTCCGTGGTAAGTCCAACTCATATCTTTTTTCTATTTTTCGGAATGTCCCAATTTCATATATGCAGTTTTGCACGAGGGTGAATTTGTCCTGGAGGTTTATTATTTGGTGGGTTCGCGGGGTGGTCGCATTGGAGAAGTTCCCTCCATTCACAGGGCTCACAAGGTTAAAAGGGCTTGCCGGGTTGGATTCCCCTTTTCCATTGTGCGCGTCTTTAGGTGACCTTTCCATTTTCAGGGAGGCCTTAGATGTGTATGCTGGGTGTCTAGCCTTACGCTCCTCAGGATATGGCACCCCCGACACACTTAGTCCTGTTGATTGCCCAATGCACACCCTGATATGATAAACTAGAAGATAAAAAATGAGGAGGTTATTTTTTATTTCTTCCTTTGTGATTAGGTAGTCAATCATTTGTCTGTCTGGCGCAGGTGTTGCTGGTCCAGATTGTCCTTCCCCCCTGTTGGAGCTTCTACACGAGATGGCCCTAAATTTATTGTTAAAGATATACTCATTAGCGTTGAAGACATTTTCGATTTCTTGTCTCTTCTGGCAAATGGAAAGAAGAAGGTTATTTGAATTATGCAAAAATGTTTGAATTTCATCCATGTCTACGTTGGTCTGTCCAGTCCTAATGAGCATGGTGCAGTACGTTTGTACTTTTTTAATTTCTCCCTTTAATTTTTTTTCACCGTATAATAATTTTTCCCTAATTGATTTGAAGCTAATTTTTAATGTTTCCATGAGTTGGTTGTACCTAATGGTGAACTTATCATATTCGTGGTCGTCTGTGTTTTGTTCTAGTATTTTCTCCATCATACATATATTTTTTTTAAAGTGTTCGTAATCTTCCCACTCTTCATTTATCACGTGTTCATATTCCTTCACCAGTTGGGACAATTTTATGGAAGCGTTGTCAAACGTTTTTTTATTTGCTTTAAATTTTTCTTCCAGTTTGATGGCTAGCTCTTTCATTTTTTCTTCATCTCTTTGGATCTGCTCTTCGAACATATGGGCCTCTATTTTTTGGCACCATTTTGTGCATTCTTTTTCGGATCTCATTTTTGCCTTTAGCAGGTGCTCGAATAGAATTTCTTTGAAGCGCTCGTAGTAGGTGGAGGTAAAATTTTGGAAGAGCTCTTTTAGGAGGTCCTCATTGAAGAGTAGTTCATCTGGTGGACATATTTTGGGCACTTGAGGTAGTGCATTCGTTGTCGCCACAGAGTGAGTCCCGTCTGGATTAACCTCCTCCTCATCAAAGTGGTTTCCTCCTCCTTTCACTTCCCCGCTCTGCTGAATGTACTCTTTTCTAATCTGCTCAATGTTTGTCTTTATTGTGCTTTCTTTTTTCTTCGCAGCGTTGGAGGCGTTTTTTCCTGTTTGTCCAACAGTCCGCTCCTTCCTTTTGACGTTTCTTTCTAGACCAGCTGCAATGTCCCTACTAGGATGTAGCAGCCCCATCATGTTACTCTTATAAGTGGTGTAGGCGTGGTACCATATCATTTCTGCGTCGTACGTGTATGTGTGTTTGGGCCCAACTAGCTGTCTGATTATGTTCCTTTCATTGTCATGGGTTTTTATTTTTTGTTTTCCCTTTATATCATCAGTGTGTTTTCCCTCACCTGCAGTTTCATTTATGCCGCATCGCTCGTTAGCCCTACGAAGAGAGAGCGCTTCCTCCCCCTCTGCGCTTATCACCTTGGCTTTGGTCAAAGCGGCGAACAAGAAATCCCCCCAGAGACGTTGGGACTGAGCGCAGAGAGTCTCATTAATGGTTCGAGATTCCTCTTCCGTTTGTATTACATGGCTTTGGAGTTTTTTCTTCGCTTCGTCCTTAATGGTCAGCAACTTTTTCATGAGCAAGTGGTCCTTGCACTGCAGGCATTTCTTCACAACGGAGTTATACTCCCTCAACAGTGTGTCAAAGGTGTAGAGGAACATACTGTTCTTCTCACTGCACTGTTGGACAGACTGATTTATTTTCCTTTCCACGTGGGAGCTCATCAACAGTATATCACTTTTTAACGTCTCCAAAATGGAGAAAAAAGAGAGTAGGAAATAATCGTCTCTCAAATTCAGTATGTTATAATGCGTCAAAATTTTGTTCGTGATTTTTTTGAACACATTTTTGTTTTTGAAAATTTGTGCGATTATTATTTCGTCAGTTTGGTTGTCATTTTCGTGGGTTACTCCACTTGGGTCATCTACCATTCGGTTAACCTCATCAGGGAGGGGGTTGCCTTCCTTTGGGTTTTTGCCTATACTTGGTTCCTCTTGTGAGTAATTTTCCATTTTTACTTTTACGTGTAATTCCCGTTTTGGCTCTAAGTTGTCTCCCACTGGGTTGCTGTCTGCCTTTTTCTCCTTCCCATCCCGCTGCGCCTTTTTGAGAGTTTTTGTGGAAACATTATGCGCAGCCTTCTTTGTGGCCTCCCTGCACAGCTGCCTTCCCCCAGCTGTCGCAGTTGTAGTTGTTGTGGACGTTGCTGTTCCCCCGCCGACGGCAGCCGCGAAGTTGCCCAAGTGGAACAACGTGTGCAGCATGGCCTCCCTGTATAGCATCATTTCTGTCTTTATCTCTTCATACCTTTTGAGGTACTCCTCATAGTGCTGATTCGCATTTTGGTAGATATCGGTGGAGTGCCGTTGGTCGTGTTTCGCTGCTTCCCCCTCTGTTAGCTCCCCCCGCTGTGGGGATAAGAAGCCATTGAAGAACTGGTCAGACGGGAGGCCAACCCTTCTGGCGTACACAGCATTGTAATTATCTTCGAACATGGTAATGAGGCGGTTAAAAATTTTGTTCGTGGATAAACTGTTGAGGTAATTTTGTGAAATGGTGGAGTACACGCAACAGATGTCTTGATAGCTCTGCTGGTGCAGCATGTCACTGAGGAAAATATATTCACATCGGTGATATTTTTCGTACACATAATTATATGTCTTTGTTACGTAATCATTAAAGTGAGTGAGAAAGTCTAGAAAAAATTGTTTTCCCCTTTCCATTTCGGTATTAATAATTTGGGAAGCTTCCTCTGTGCTGAAGAATATTTTTTCCCTCATTTTTGCTTCCAGACACTGAGTACTGTCACTCATTCCTTTTATTACCTTTTCGTGTTTCCTCTCAAAATGGCAAATAAAATTTTTAATTTTTTCATTCAAATTGGTAAATAAATTTTGTACACATTCCCATTTCGCCTTCATGTCTTCTCTTTTTTTATCTACCTCTTTTTTGATCTCATTTAGTATACATTTTTTTGTATTTTCTGAGCAGTCCTTTATGACGCGGGTGCTGCTCATTTGGGGTCCATCCACTGCGTTGTCACTTGAAGGGATGAACTTCTCACGAACTTTTAACTCCATCAAAGTTGTGTAGTATGTAAGATAGAAGTTGTTAATTTTCATTTGTCCTTGTGAGTTCTCTTCTCTTGGTGATGGATTCCCATCCCACTTTAAGTCAAGCGCTTCTTTTGTGAGTCTTTCCGCCTGGGTCAATATTTTGTCCATTTCGCTCTTCAGCAAATTCGCCTTTAAAAAAGTTTCACTTTTTATTTCCTCCATGCAGTTGTCGACCTCTCTGTGGTAGTCCTTTATCAATTTATAAGAATCATCTTCTGCCTTGTTCAAATATCTGTGTGTGCTTTTTATGCGTAGCTTCTTCATTTTTTCTATTGGGTTGTTGATAGCGTTGTGTAAGGAGTGTTTGCTTGTGTATCCCTCATTCAATCCTGAGCTTTCTTGGCTGATTGTTTGCTCAGTGTGGCAGTTCCCTTCGATGTTCACTATATCTGTTGCGTTGTTATACCCCGTCTTGGTGTCTTTCCGTGGTGTCTCTCTCCCATTCTCCTGGTTGTACTGCTCATTCGATTCGTTTTCCTCGTCTAACGTTCCTCCACTCCTGCGCTCCGCATGGGCTTCTACACATTTCATGACTTGTGCAATGTTGTCCGTCTGGTGTGTCACCTGCCTCCCTGCAATTACCTGCTCATAATTTTTTGCCAACTCGTCATTCCTCCGTTCTGTAAAATTACTTTTATCAAAAAAAATTTTTTTTTTTTCCTCAAGGGCGGATACATTGTCCTCCCTCTTTTTTTTATCCTCCAAGAAGGAGTTCATTTTTTCACTGAAATTTGTCTTCTTCATTTTGTCATCACCACATCACTTTGCTTTTGCTCTTAAGCGATGAGTTATTGTACTCGTCGTTATTGCTCACCTGTATGGTAAAGCTAGCACCGTCGTTGTTTGTGTCAGTTTTGTAAGGATCCAAATGGGGGGGCTATAATTTTGGGTCCGCGACAGTGTAAAGCGGCAGTATATAGGACACTTCGGGCCCCTCAAGGATGTGAAATGTCTTCCCTGCACGTGCGTACACACACATATGTGGGGGAATAAGGAGGGAACTCACACCATAACAGGACTGCACCAGATGGGGAGAGGTAAACTGGTGGACCGCGACAAATGATTATTATTTTTCAGCACCATTAAAAAAAAAGAAAAAAAAAAACGCAAATTTGGCAAAATTGCAAATTTGTGCGAATAATTTTACTTACGAAAAAAAGACCTATTCCGAGAGAAGCCAAGCGTGACGGTCTTACCATGTAGACCAGTTTTGCTCAAACGAAGAACATTGCAATTCAACGTTTGGCGCGACTTTAAAATAGGTAGAAGATTACGTATCCGCAAATTGAACAAACGCAGTATACAGAAGCATAAAGAAAGCGTGCCCTTGTGCATATGGCGGAAGGATATCGAACCCGCTGTCTTGCGCACATTTGGACAGAGACGGAAGTGGGGGGAGGAGGAAGACCCGAACCATGCACTCCTTTTAGCGTTTTCCTTTTTTTATATCAAGCTCGATAGTGCATGAGCATATTTGAAGACCAATACGAATGACCTTATGTAGAGGAAGAAACTCTCAACAAAAAAAAAAAAAAAATTCCCTTTATTCAAAATGACAAATGTGCGAGAAGATACGGGTTACTAGTTTTGCACACAGGATTGTGGGATGGACCTTGTGGTATGTTATAACTTAATCTAGGTGACTTGGTTTTTCTTTTTTTTTTTTGGCCTCATCACTGCATTCTATGTCATTTTTATTTTATTTTTTTTTTCACGTGCGCACAAAGGGAGGGAACAAGTGACCTCGTTTTAACGCAAGCTGTTGTGTGGCGGTTGGCGTGCGGGGTTGGGCCCCTTTTCCAGTGGGGCTGATTACGTCCCACACTGCACAATTGCATGAGTGTCCATTCAACGCATTATTGATTCGCGCGGGTGGAGACTCATCATTTTCACGTGTTCACATATTCCCCTTTAAATTTTGGACATTTTGGCATTAAAAATTTTTTGTTCCTTTCACCTTCTCTCCTTTGCTGTCTGACCGCTTAACCCCACGCATGCTTTTACGCGCACTGGTTCCCCAGGGTTATTATTTCCCGTCCCCCTGTTCAGTGAACCACAAATCAGGCCCTTTTTGAGTGGTGTCCATTTTAACAAAATTGAAGTAGCCCTGTTAATTGTTTTCTTTCTTTTTTTTTCTTTCCGCTTTTTTCTGTTTATGGCATCGCGCTGTTTAATTTTGTAACACAGGCTTTTTGTCCTTTGGGCATGAAACAACAAAGACAGCAATTGGATGTACTTTTTTTTTTTTTTTTTTTTTTTTTTTTTCCTTGAGCTTCACTGCATTGTTTTTCGATAAGGCCTAAGGGAAGACACACATTGTAGGGCTTTTAAAATAAACTGTTCCCATTTGCGAGTAACAAATTGCATGATATTACTTCACTTGTTTTTGTTCCTCGCCGTGTTCTTCATTTTGTCTGGCAGGTGTGCACTTTCGCGTTTACGTAGACTGAATACGCGTGCGAGGCACAAATAAAAGGTGTGCGAAGAGTTTTCCTGTGGACAGGCGGGTATACGTGAGTATAACCTATGCGGACCTCTTCACAGCAGACGAACACATTTTGCTTTTTGCAAAAAACGAAATCGAGAGAACGAAAATATGGCTGTCTCAAGTGTAGGGTTTATCGAGAGTGATGATGTAAGCCAAGGTTACTGCTCATGTGACTCCGAGACAACTGCAGGCACTGATACTAGCGCGAGCGAAGATGATGGGAAGGGGATTCAAATTAAGATTAAGAGAGCCATTGAAAATGGTATACTGGATGATGCGAGAAAAAAAAGAAAAAGGAAAATCCTCAATTTTGATGGAAGCTTGAAAAAAAGAAAAAATTTGAAAATCGAACAGGAGGGGTTCAAAATTAACATTCGGAAATTTAGACTGTTTAAAATTGATCACGTGAGAAAAAAAAAAGAGGAAACGCTCCCCCCAGGGAGGAATGACCAGGACGGGTACACCGGGGCTGCTGAGGACAAGGAGGGTGCTTCGAAGTGAAATGGACATTGAGGAGAGGAGCACGCAGCGGGCAACACATTTTACCTCCCTCTTGTACCATTCCGTTTTTGCATCCAAAGTGGGAACTCCCGACACAACAACAACACAAAGAGATATGAATATATATAAATGAAAACCACAACATGGAATAGGAAGTTACCGGCTGCAAACATGCGAAGGGTATGTACAAAAATGTAACTATTTTTTTTTTCCAGGAGGAATATCAAACTGAAAAAACGTGGTCCAAGGGAAAGGGCAGAGCCCCATGCCCAGAAAAACAGGATTGGAGGAAAACCCAAGATGATAAACGACCACAAACTGAAGGAGTGCCATTCGCTTTGTGGGGGGAGACAACCAAAGTGGAATTTGTTGGCTAGCTGCACATTTCTTATGAACAAGCGAAAAAAAAAAAAAAAAAAAAAAAAAATTAATGTAATAGTAACCCCACAAAGTTGCAAATCCATGAAGCTCCAAATCAGGAAGATGAGGAGGAAGGCCACGTACCTGCATGGACAGGACACACCCCAGTGCAGGGAATTTCCCCGTTTTACGCGTTTGCGCACTTGGGGACAACATGCATTCCCGCAAATGGGGACTTCACCAATCAGGCGAGTATGCACACGTTGTGTACGTTTTTTGTGTGTGCAAAAAAGTTTATCCCTACAAGACAGTAGCCAATAGCCAATGAAATACCTAATCAATTGCATTGCGCAACCTTTTCCGTTTCTTTCCGTCTGCCACATTTTAGCCTCCCCTATACTTCCAATGAGGGCGCATTTGTGTCTACTCCACTACTATTAGGTGTACTTCTTCTTACGAAAAGGAACAATTCACGTGTCGGCCGCATTTTATGGCTGCACACAACTGGCGGTGTACGTACAAGCCATGATTCGTACACAAATCCCGATATTTTAAAATTTGTTTTTAATTTTTGTTTATTTTACTGATATGCCTTTATTTTGCCCAATTTTACTTTAACTCGTTTGATTTTTGCTTGGCATCAACAACTCATTTGCATTATTACTAATCGGATTGAACTAGACGCTCAGTAGCCTCTACATTTTGGCCCTTTGAATTGAGCGCTTCCGTGGGTGTATTATTTTGCCGCCTACTGCCTCAAATCACCAGATAATTTTGAAAAAAACAAAAAACAAAAATGAAGCTAAGCCTTTGTAGCGTCCTTTTTGCCTTCGTCTTGTGCTGCCTCTGCGGAGCATCCCAGGGTATACATGAAGAAGAGCAAAAGGGCGGAGTAAAGAACGACCTGGGGAATGTAACAATAGAAGTCCTGCCCGCTGACGATGATGACGATGATTTGGAGTTAACCAATTATTTGTTGGACGAACTGATGGACAGGGATAACGTGGAGAGTGACCAACTGTGAATGGTCTATGGGTGCGGGTGGCTGTATGACGAGGGTACAAAGCTTGCACAGCAAACTTCTAATTCGGGTGTGCAGATCAAACCGCGCTTGCGAAGTGTGTGACCATTTGGTGCTACTAAAATGCATAAGTGACATTAAACCTGAAAGGATGAGATGAAACGGATGGAAACAAGAAGAGGAGGATAACTCGCGTCGGATTCTTGTTTGTGAGTTCCACTTACACTAGTGAAATGTTTTGGGGAAGTGCTTGCCACTATCGCACTGCAGCGTTTTGTAGACCCAGAAATGTATATGACCCGTGGCACGCTCTACATAATATATGATTTATTTTTTTTTCTACACGTGGGCGTATTTGCCAAACGCGTTTAAGAACCTTTTTTGGCAAAATAGTTTTCAACTACGTTTAGGCGCTGCGAGGAATTGGAACTGCGTTTTATGGGGTGGCAACGAGAAGGGGGACCAAGTCCTTGCTTAAAAATAAACTCACATGAGCATGTATATATGCACAGGTGGAAATACCTGCAACGGAGGCGGGTCATGCAGGTAGCTTCGCCCATGCGCCGAATAGCGTTACCTGTGTCCATTGAGGATGCTACGATATTTGCGTTTCCAGGGGTACGCCCTATTATCCGCGTGTATGCGTACGCAATTTTCGCCCTATTTGTCATTGTGTGCATAGCATTGCTTGAACAGGGAATCGTCCTTAACCTTTTTTTTTTTTTTTTAAGGGTAGAAAATAACATCATGACGCAATGTTGCTCTATGTTTATATATAGTCTTGCCCCTTTTTGTTTCCACTCCTTTTTTTCAACCCTTTTTTTTTTTTATCCATTTTACATT